CTACATAACAGGCATGCTGAGACAAAAAAAAAAATATATATATATATATATGGTCCAAATAAAAGAACAGATCAAAACTCCAAAAATATAACTAAGCAATGAAGAGGCAGACAACCTATCAGATGCAGAGTTCAAAACACTGGTAATCACAATGCTCACAGAAATGGTTGAGTATGGTCCCAAAATAGAAGAAAAAGTGAAGGCTATGAAAAGTGAAATAAAGGAAAATGTATAGGGAGCCAACAGTGAAGGGAAGGAAACTGGGACTCAAATCAATGACTTGGAGAAGAAAGAAATAAACATTCAACCAAAACACAATGAAAAAATGCGGAGAGGCTTAGGAACCTCCAGGACAACTTTAAACATTCCGAATCATAGGGGTGCCAGAAGGAGAATAGGAAGAGCAAGACATTGAAAACTTATTTTAAAAAATAATGAATGCCCAATCTGGCCAAGGAAATAGACTTCCAGGAAGTCCAGGAAGCTCAGAGAGTCCCAAAGATTTTGGACCCAAGGAAGCACACACCAAGGCACATCACAATTACATTACCCAAGATTAAACATAAGGAGAGAATTTTAAAAGCAGCAAGAGAAAAGGAAACAGTTACCTACAAGGAGTTCCCATAAGACTATCAGCTGATTTCTCAAAGGAAAACTTGCAGGCAAGAAAGGGCTGGAAAGAAGTATTCCAAGTCATGAAAGACAAGGACCTATATCCAAGATCACTCTATCCAGCAAAGCTATCATTTAGAATGAGAGAGCAGATAAAGTGCTTCCCAGATAAGGTCAAGTTAAAAAAGTTCATCATCACCAAGCCCTTCTTATATGAAATGTTAAAGGGACTTATCTAAAAAAAAAAGATGATCAAAAATATGAACGGTAAACCGTGGCTGAGTGGATTGAGCACCAGCCTGCAAACCAAAGGGTCACGGATTCAGTTCCCAGTCAGGGCACATGCCTGGGTTTCGGGCCAGGACCCAAGTAGGGGGTGCTCGAGAGGCACCACACATTGATGTTTCTCTCCCTCTCTTTCTTCCTCCTTTCCACTCTAAAAATAAATAAAATCTTTAAAACAATATAAACAGTAAAATGACAACAAAATCTCAACTACTAATAACTGAACCTTAAAATAAAAAACAAAAACAAAAACAAACTAAGCAAACAACTAGAACAGGAACAGAATCACAGAAATGGTTATCAGTGGGGAGAGGGAGGGAGGAGAATGGGGAAAAAGGTACAGGGAATAAGAAGCATAAATGGTAGGTACAAAATAGACAGGGGGAGGTTAAAAATAGTATGGGAAATGGAAAAGCCAAAGAACTTATATGTATGACACATGGACATGAATTAAGGTGGGGGAGTGCTGGTGGGAGGAGGGGTATGGGGCAGAGGGGAATAGAGGGGAGATAAAATGGGACAACTGTAATAGCATAATCAATAAAATATATTTTAAAAAAGAACTGGATGACAAAAAATAAAAAAAGGTCAACTGTATTTATCTGGGTTGTCATTGCATCTGGGCCCTTCTAGCAAACAGTTAGGAAATAATAAATGTGTAGGTGTGCATGCACACATCTATATTTATTTTTTTTCTATCCATATGTGTATACACACACTGATAGCTATAGATATATATGTAAACATGTGTACAATAGATTATATTAAAAATCATAAATTCCTACTAATTCCCCCTATTCCAACCCAACACCATCAGGTTCAGGTTAGCCTTCCCCTTTATTTAAATATTTTTTTTCTCTGACATTGAGAAACCTGACTCTCATTATTCACAATACATATTAGTTCAGACCTGTACACATGCAAAGTAGTTTCAGAATGACTAATTCACATGCCTGTGATAAACAAATTTTCTCACTGGAGTACAAAATTTGTATAGCTATTTCTGTTTTTAGCCCTAAAATACACAAACACTACTTTCCAAAGTTACTTAAGTTAGTTCTTTCCTACCCCACCCTTCAGTTGGTTATGTTATCTATTTATGTCACAGGTAGGGTCACTTGTCACTGTTCGTATTCCATTTTCGGTTCTCCCCACATCCTGGCTATTTCTCAGTGTGTACCTGTCATAAGGCGTGTGAGACAACACCCTGGTTCTAAGACTCGGAGCTATACAGAAAGGCATTCTCAGAGAAGTGTCACCCCCTTACCCATATTATCCCTCCCAACTTCCTCATTCTGTCTACCCCATTCCCACTCACTCACTGGTTGTCACTCTTACATAGATAACTAAAATCTTTAGCTTCTTATTTATACTTTCTATATTTCCTTTATAGAAATGAACAGATATATGGATATTTTCTTATGCCTTTCCTACAAAAATGGCAGCATATTATAGATATAGTTTTACTTTGATTTTTTTCATTTAACAATATATCCTAGAAATCACATCATATTAATTCATAAAGATTGACCTTGTTTTTTTAACAGCTGCATAGTACTCCATGGTGTGGCTGTACCATCATTATTCAACCATTCTATTTATGAGCATTTAGGTTGTTTCCAATATTTTAGAAGTATAAACAATGCAAACATGAATAACCTTATGCAGGTGTATTTTCACAGTGGAATGGGTATACTCCTATCTTCAGTGTGGATTCCTACAGGTGAGATTGGTAAGTCAATAGGTAACTGTGCAGTAGTTGTGTTAGGTATTATTAAATTACCTTCCAAAAGGGCTGTATCACTTTGTATTCCCACTGACAATGCATGAAGGTACCAGTTTTCCCACAGTTTCATCAATGGAATGTAGTGTAATACTTTTTAAATTTTTTTCAATTAAAAGGAAAGAAATGGAACCTCCGTGTTGTTTGAATTTGAATTTCTTTATAGGTATGTTCGAACCTTTTTCCAAAATGTTGGGACCGATCCTGGCTGGCATAGCTCAGTGGATTGAGTGCGGGCTGTGAACCAAAGTGTCGCAGGTTCAATTCCCAGTCAGGGTACATGCCTGGGTTGCAGGCCATGACCCCCAGCAACCGCACACTGATGTTTCTCTCTGTCTCTCTATCTCCCTCCCTTCCCTCTCTAAAAATAAATAAATAAAATCTTTTTTAAAAAGTAGAGCTTATTTAAAAAGAAATGAATGACTCCATGTCTCCATTAACTAGGAAAAAAAATGTTGGGACCATTTATGTACCTTTTGTGAACTGTCTTACATGTCTTTCTCCCATTCTCTATCAGGTTTCTGGTCCCTTGACCCTCAAATGTTAAGAGTTCTCTATATATTAGGGATATTAGACTTTTATCTATGGTATATGCTGCAAATATTTCTCCCTGTTAAAGTCCAGTGTCCTTGTACTTTACTGTGTTTTTCACTATGCAAAATTTTATGTGGTGACATTTTTTAATATTTTCTGTTATTGCTTCTGAATTTTGAGTCACAGAAAATCTTTCCTTATATTTAAAGAAGAATTTACCCATGTTTTCTTCTAGTACTATGATTTTACTTTTGTGTATTTAGATCCCCAGTCCACTTGGAGATTATTCTTATGTATTATGTGGGCCTAATTTTGTCTTTCCCCAAATGGTCATCCTATTGTCTCAGCACCATTCATAAAAATGTCCATATTTGATCCAGTAATTTTAGATGCATCCTTAATCCTATACAAAATGTCCATAGGTAGCTGGGTCAATTTATGGGGTTTCTATTCTATTCTATTGGTCTAGTTGTTTATATTGTTTTAATTATACAGGCTTTATAGTATGTTTTAACATCTGGTAGGGCTATATTTACTCTCAAAATTTGTTTTCTTAGCTATTCTTGCATGCTTGTTTTTTCATCTGAACTTCAGTATCAATTTATCTAGTTCCATTAAAAAAACCTGGTGTTTTCATTAGGAATTAAATTTATAAACTAACATAGGAAGAACTGACATCTTTATAATATTGACTCATTATTTTTTTAAGATTTTATTTATTTATATAATTATTTATTTATAGAGAGGGGGAGGGAAGGAGAAAGGGAGAGAAACATCAATGCATGGTTGCCTCTCAGGTGTCCCCTACTGGGGAACTGGCCTGCAACCCAGGCATGTGCCCTACACGGGGAATTGAACCAGCAACCCATTGGTTTGCAGGCTGGTGCTCATTCCACTGAGCCACTCCAGCCAGGGCTATGTTGATTCATTCTATCCAAGATCACACAATGTCTTTCCACTTGCTCAAGACTACCTCTGCATATTTTCAGAGGTGTTTTAAAATTTTCTTCATATAAGTTTTACACATTTACTATTAAGCTTATTTCTAAGTATTTCTTCTTTGTTGCTATTGCAAATAGAGTTTCTCTACTATCATGTCCTCTGACTGTTATTATTTGTGCATGTGAAGGTTATTAATTTTTGCACGGTAATTTCACATCCTGCTACTTTTAATGTTTAAGTTACCTTTATCATTGATTCTCTTGGTTTTTTCAGATATACAATTATAGTTTATGAAATAGAGTTTAACTAAAAAAAAGAAACAGAGTTTTACTACTTGGTTACCATCTTATGCTTCTGGTTGATTTCTCTTGTCTAGTTGCACTAGCTAATACCTCTAAAATAATGATGAAAGTGGCACAGGTAGTGGGCATCCTTGTCTAGTTCCTGATCTTAGTAGAAATGCCTCCAGTGTTCCCCATAGGTAAGATAATGGCTTTAATTCTAAGGCACAAAAAATGTATCATATTAAGAAAGAGTCCTACAATTTCTATTTTCTTGAGTGTTTTAATCATGAATAGGTACTGAAACCACCCTGTTATTTTGAAAACTAATAAAGGAAACGAATCAAGTGTTTATCCTGCATTTTTTACATAATCGATTCCTGAGGGTAACCAAGGTCCTGGTGGTACAATGGCCCCAAGTGTTCTGGGGTCGAAGGGGAAGGTCCTGACTGACACTTTTTTCAGAGCCCAATTATGCGAGTCCTGCTTTCCCCTCCATGCCTCAAAGGACTCCCAGCTCCAAGGATTTCTCCCTCCCGGGGAGGGGGGAGCCCAATACTCACGTCATTCTCCGAGGTCCCACAGAGGATGCAGGATTTGCACTCTATGCACTGCCACTTGTAGGTCTTGACGGCCTCAGTCATGTTCAGGGTGAACTGCAGGCAGGTCGGGTGACCTAGGGGAAGCAGAAATGGCACTGTTAGGGCCAGAGGGTCTGACTTGTCATCTCTCATCACAACTAACGGAAAACACATTTATGCCCAACTTGGAGGGAGGTGGAGGTCTCATGTTTTGGGAAACAAACTAGGGACCTGGATGGGGCCCTACCCACACTCCCCTACCACCCACAGTTACATCAGATCAAGGCCTGAAGAGAGAGATGGACATTAACCCTTTTACCAGGGACAGATGCCATCCAAATCCTCTTGCCCTACGAGCATTTCCCCCTAGGGGTGTAGCCAGCCATGAGGACAGAAGTGGTGATCAGGGAGAGAGAGAAAGGACACTGCACAGCACACAGCACACGGAAGCACGGCGAGAGTCACCATTATCTCCCAGCCCCAGCATCAGCTGTGGCAGGAGCAACACACAAAGCTAACTGGGCTTTCTGCTCCAGAGAAACGTTCCCACTGCCTCAGGGAAGACTCCGTGAGGTCTCCAGAGGCAGAGCTCAGGGGCTCCGGGAGGCACTGCACTGCGGTCCGAAGCATCCACGCCCGTGCCCAGATTCGCTGGGTCCACGGCCCGCACAGGAGGATGAGGCCTGGCAGGAGTGCCGAGAAGTGCATCATCACAGCACAGGGGACACAATGGCCAGGTCCACCCTAAAAGGACTGGTTGCTGGCTCTAACTCCTTTCTCCATCCAAAGCATCACATTAGCCAAGCCAGTAACAGGATCGGGGAGGGACATTAAGCTGTAACCTTAGAGCCCACAGCTCCGTGGACCAATACCGAGGCCTGGCCCACAGAGCTGGACTCTGTTCTCAGCCACAGCTCACCCAAAAGAGAGACACCGGCAGTGAGAGGACAGCTCTTAGCCACAGAATGTGATGACCTTTGACCTCCTATTTGGCAGGGAAAGGAAACTTGGGTGATGATTCCAGGCTTCCCAGTGCTGTCAATCTGCCCTGAGAACCCAGGGCAAAGCCCATTACTGACTCTGTCACAGAAGAAAGGACAGCTGTGCCTGCTGCAGGGGGTTCACCCTTCTGCAGAGCTCCAGCCCTGCCAAACCCAGCACACAGGGCATTGTGTTGCCCCTTTCACACTCGGGATTATGTACTTCTAAAGAAGGATGCAAGACAGGGGGCGGGGAAGGGTTGCTAATCAGAGTTAGTCTCACCAGCCCAGTGCCCCACACAGGGGGCCAGGACCCCCTGTGGCACCATCACCCCTTGGCAAAGTCACATCCCAGCACAAGGCCCCCATTTCCTCCCTTCCAACTCCTCAGGGAACTAGTTACATCGTGGTCATTTGGGATACATACTATCTGCTCCATCAACACAAGGACCCTTCAAATTTGGGCTCCACAAACACACACCACACTGTTATCCCAGAGAGGAAGAGTAGGCATGGAAACAACTTGTGAGTGGGGGATGGGGAGCCACTTAGCAAAGAGCAGGCAGGAGTACTGAGGAGATCACTGATCTAGAAGCTTTTCAAGGACTTCTCAGACGCCATCCAAACTAGAAACCCCCACCGCTCTGGACGAATAACCCTCTCCAAGTGACACCTTGGCAGTGACCCAGAAGAAAAAGACTCCTGGCATTAAAAGCCTGGATGAACATCCAGCTGACGCTCGTGAAAGCATCTCAGAGGTCTGTCTAAGCAGAACACCAACCAGGGCTGTCCCCTGGTCCAGTCTCTCAGAGAGAATATTGGGATCAGAACAGGAGAGAAAGTACCAGTTTGAGCTTCTGAGTGGTATGGGCCATACATGCCCAGGCTCTCTGACACGCCCCCTTGGGAAGGTCGCAGATGAGTCTGTGGAGCAGATGCCCACAGAAGCAAGTTGACTCTGCCCAGTTCCATGGCCTTGAGGCCACAGCCAGCCAGCTTACAATAATTACTTGTGAATTTGTCCATTAATGAGTGTTTACTCAGCACCTGTAAGGCCAGCCATTGCACTAGACAGAAAAGATACAATGGTGAGCAAGATACCCCAAAAACCTCTAATTAGAGAGAACTCAAATTAATGACGTATACACCTATCTACTTATTTATAACCGTGTGATAGGTGCCATGAAGGAAAATCATAATGGGCCATGAAAATAAACCACAGGAGAGCCTAATCTAGTCCGAGATGCCGAGGAAACATCTCGAGACAGGTGAAGAGTTAGCCGTGTGGGAGAGGGGAGCGCTCCAAGCAGAGACATGCAACATGCTGTTGCATGTGTGGGGGCTCGGGGGCTCTGAGCAGTGGAGGAGCTGGGCTCACTGAAAGGAAAAGAAAGGCCAGTGGGCAGAGGCTTGGCGAGCAAAGGAGAAGGGCAGGAAGCGGCCGGTGAGGTCGTCGGAGCCAAATTACACAGGTGTTAGTAGCCTTTATTTATTAAGGATTTGGAGCTTTGAAGTCATTAAAGGGTTTTAAGCAAAGAAGGGACTGGATCACGTCGTGTTTTTAAGGAAGGTACTTTAGCATGAGAGATCTTCGGGGTGATGAAGCAGTTCCATATCTCCCATTGTGGTGGTGGTTACGTACACAGTGGTAAGATCACACAGATTATACACACATGCACATAAGTGCACACTGTGTGGGCATGTAAGACCAGTAAAATAGGAATAAGATCTGCAGATGCATCGATGTCAGTTGACTGGTTTTGATATTGAACTAACTATGTAAGATGCTACCAGGGGAGGAAGCTGGTTGAAGGGTACATGTGACCTCTCTGTAATGTATTTAATAACTTTATATGATGCCATAATTATTTCAAAATAAACAGTTGAAAAGATCTTTTCATAAAAGAAAAACACAATTAAAACTTAAAATCATCAAGGAGAAAGGATGGGAGGGAAGGAGGGAGGAAAGAGATGGAAGAAAGGAAATAAAGCATAAGAAAGGGAGGGAGGGAGGGAGGAAGAAGGAAGGAAGGAAGGAAGGAAGGAAGGAAGGAAGGAAGGAAGGAAGGAAGGAAGGAAGGAAGGAAGGAAGGAGAAAAAAGCTGGTAAGAAAAGAATCTGTGAGGGTTGAGCAATGAAGGGGGTGGGGGAAATGGGGGGTGGCGGGGGTGGAGTGGTAATACAGAGATGCAAAAATTGTTGCCAGGAAACTAGTTCAGAGGCTGATCAGTTACCAGGAGAGAGACAGGATGATTAAACTAAGGTGGGGATTTGAGAAATATTAAAGATATAACTGAGAGGACTGACCCATTGTTGGAACCGTAGGAGAGTGAGAAAGGAGAGATGATGAGAACCATTCTCAAGTTTCTGACCTAAGAAACCAGGTGGGCTGCAGTGGAACTTACATTCAGGGGCCAGTGGAGGAGGGGGAGGGTTCTCTCTGTTGAGTTTAGGAAGACTGTGAGACTTCTGGAGAGTATGTCAGATGGGCAGTTGAATACATGTGTTGAGGGCTCAAAAGAGAAGTATGAACTAGACATGTAAATTTAGGGTTTTTGCTAAATAGGTGAAAATGAAATTATCTGGGAAAATAGAAAAGAACACAAAGCAAGAAGAAAAGCAAAGAGACAAAAATGTCCAAGGCTGAGCTTCGAGAAACTCAACCACTTAAAGCTCAAAACAAAGGACCAACAGAGAAAACTGAGAAGACGGCTGCTGGAGAGGTGAGAAACAAACCAGGCAAGTATGGCGTCACGGTAGCCAAAGGAAGTATTTCAAGGAGGGGGTAGTCAGCCATGTTGACTATCTCAGGTTCCTGAGTTTGTCATTGCTCAATAAAGACCTAGAGTGAGGGAGTGTTGACAGATCAGAGCAAAGGCTGCCCTGCTAACAACAACACCCTTCGGTGGTGTCCTCTCCCCTAGGAAGGAAGGTCAGCGCATTGCAGAGCACGATGTGGAACTCCGCAGCCAAGTGGCGCTGCCTCCACAGGTGAGGACGGGATGGGGGCTGCGGGGAAATGTGCAGCCGACGACGCTCCAGAGACACTCACTGAAAGCCAATTCTGTGTTCAAGTTCTCTCAAACCACTGTGCTGAGCTCTGAAGACATATCCTGGTATAGTTGTACACCAGTGAACAGTAGCAAGTGGGTTTTGGAAACTCCTGTTGGAAATCTCTGAAAAACCCCAAGGGCTTTCTCTATGTTCCAGTCTTGAGAAAGTCATCAGCCTCCCAAAGACCTTCAAACCCGAAGGAAGGGAATGGCATTCACACATCCACACCCCCGCTCCTCTGCCAGTCCCCCCTCACCCTGCCCACAGAACACAGGACTAAGACGAGCCTCAGCTCTGACTGCAGCCTCCTTCAGCTCAGAATTCAAGACGTCACTCAAGTGCAAGGGGAAAGTGAAGGATGCAACTTCTCATCCAGGGTGGCTGAGGCCCCAAAAGCTAAGTCACCCAACCAGCCATTAGCAGGTACAAAAATGACGCCCAGCACTAAATCCCCCTATCTGGGCCACCATGGCAGGCTGGCTGGCTGGCTGTTGCCTGTCTCCCAAAACTGGGAAAAGTCGTTCACCAGCCAAAACTGTAAGAATAAGACTCTTGTCTATCGTGGAAATGACTGAAATGATACCCACTGTCGGACAAAAGGAAGTTTCTAAGGAAAGAGCTAGAAGCCCACTTCTAGGTTTTACTGTTAGAACTCATTTTTGCCCAGAACTAATTCCTAAAGTTTTTAGAAGTAAAACGATAATAGATATAGTTTTCCCAATTCAAGGGTGTTAGGAAAAAAAGAGGCACATTTGTTGTAAAGCAATTTACCTGAAGTCACTTGCTACTTAAAGATTCCTATCTTAATCTCTTCTGTAAAGTTAACCATCTTCTCTAAGGTACTGGCTTGGGAATCCAGATTTTTTAAATACTTCCAGTTTTCTTTAAGTAAGGAATGCGTGCATTGCTATTTAAATAGCCCAGTGGAGTGAGGGGAGACAATTCTCCCCAGATCCCCCTGGGTGGGACAATTCAACAGGAAGGACATCTGTAAGATTCCAGTTACCCAAATGAACTTAGAAAATGGCGCGGCGTGTGTGACTCAGCCCAGCCAGAGCATT